GAAGTGAAGTGAAGGAAAGTTAAGACACTGGTCGTCTTAGAGCCGTCTGTGTGCTGCTCAGAATTCTGTAATCCTATATCATGCACAGAAACTCGGCACAATGGACATAGTGTTGAACTTCCTGTAAGTACAAGGTAAAGTAAGGATGCAGGCGTAATTTGAGGATTTCCATGTTGAGAAATGTTCCATTTTCAGCAGCAGGGTTTTGACAGACACTTAAAGTCTTTTTGAAATCCACAGTTGGACTTTTCTGGGTTTATGGCAGCTTTTCCCAGCCAGAGTCTTAGATCATCTGCATAGAGGGAGAATATAACTGCTTCCTGAGGCTGAGAGCCGGAGTGGACGCAAAGATTTATTCATCCATCATCTCCCTGCTGATGCAACTGGAGCAGGTTGCCCTCCTGAGTCAGGAACACTTTCCAGCAATACTACTACGACTACTACTACTGCAGCAGCAGCAGCATCAGCAGTAGTAATCGTAGTAGTAGATTACCAAAGCAGACAGCATGTTAAACACAGGTCAAACCGAGAAATCAGAGCGGAGGAGTTCTTTTTTTCCTGTCCCAGAATTCCTCTCAGCCCACACTCACATCCTACAACGACAGCCATCGAGTTCAGACACAGTAAAAAAGAGGAAAACGTTCAGACTGATTTCTTTCATTCTTCTTCTTTTTTTTTTTAAAGGAGCCGACAGTGATTGATTTCTTTTTTTTTTTTTAAGAAGAAAACTGATTCACCCAGATATATAGAGAAATAAAAGCGAGGACAGAGAAGAGAGAAGTGCAGTGGTTGGTTAAATTCCCTGAGCGTAGTCTAGGCTAATTATTGTATGAGCTGACAGTGATATTAAACTGACTGCTGTGGTATTTTGGACTCGTCTCTAAGTCATAAATAGTTGTTTTCACATGATCTCTGAAATGGAAACAGAAGGATTAAAAAAAAACACACACAGACAAATAAACAAAGAGGAATAAAAAGAGTGATGATCCCTCACATCTTGTCCCAGCTTTGGATGAGTGGACCCTTGGGAGAAGCTCATCAAAACTTAATTTCATTCCCCCCTAAAAAATAAAAGGAGACTTCCTATTTTTACTCTCAGCCTAGATGATTCCCCAAAGGGAAAGCACCCGCTCTGGGCTGTTTTGTTTTCCCGCAGATATGCCGTCCCTCAAGAAAACCCAAAATAAACATGCAGAAAACCACAAGGATAAATTTGGCCGCTTGTGCGGAAAAGCTTGGAGTCGCCGCGATTCTGCTCTCACACACACAGGGAAAGGCAGAAGAAAAGATAGCTGGGAGGCAGTGAGTCGGAAATGAGGGGGAATAAACAGAGGAACGAGGAGAAGTTTGGAAACAGATGGAGTTGGGTGCAATGAAAAAGAAAACAGGGGCCGATGGGGGGAGGAGGGGTGAGCACTGCTGTCAAACTTTTCAAACATGCACATACTGGAAAAGTGCAGGCATGTGTGGGTCCATAAACAATATCATGGCTTTTTTAAAGGCCAAAACTCAGTCTGCAAATCAGATGGGACGGGCTATAAATGTCTGGATACCAAGAAATAAAAATACACCGTGGACCCAACAAACAAAGTACTACTAAAAACATGGCACTGATTAATGACTGTGCAAAACAAACAGATTGAGTGGAAAATTTCATTTTTTTTTACCCAGAAATTTTTTTTTTTTTACTTTATAAACACTTTACTACATAATCGATAGAAGAAATACAGCCCTAAACCATGACAGTGTCTCCAGAACTACGCACTAGTACTGTGATGTTGGCTGACTCAGTTTTGTATTTATTTTTTTAACTAACCATTCACACTCATTACTTTGAACTAAAACATAAAGCTGAATTAGCTCAGTCACTGAGTCCTGCTAACGAACTGAAGAATTCCCTTCTGCTGTATGTTATTCCTACTCCTGTCAAGTCCCATTTTGACAACTAGCTCCACTGCAGAAGCAGAAGATAAATCACATTCATGGATGTGATACAGAGATACAAAAAAATCTTTGGAAAACTTTGATATTCCAAGCATGAAGGAACTGCACTGAGGAAAAGGGAACATGTGGAGTTCTGTGTTTCCTACCAAGAACAAGGGAAAAAAAGGGAAAGTTGTTTACTCTGAGGTATGAATCCTTGGTTCGTCAGCTCCACCCAGGAGTTGACCTTGTCTATCGTGACAACAGAACACACACACACTCTCTCTCTCTCTCTTTTTCTCTGTCTCTCTCTCTCAATGCCAGACGAGTAAAACTGCAGTCAGAGGAATGAAGGGTGGTTTTTACACGATATTCCAGTTTCAGCAAATGAGAAACTTTCTCTGTAAATAAACCAGACGTGATATGATGTGGACTCTGAGGAGAGGCCTTTCTTTGGGACCAATGTTTAGCATTGTCTAGGCTAAAATTAACTTAAGTTTAAGTCAACATTAAGCTCAGTTTTAGCTATTTTTTGCTAGCTTTACTAGCAAACATTATTGTTGTTTCGCTAACATTACGTGTTGTCCTTAAATTAAACGGGGGGTCGGGTCAGGAGCAGATAGATGGAGTGTTCGTGTGAACTTAGATAAATGACATGTAAAAGTCATGCAGAAAGGCTAACATGCTAAAATTGTCTACGCCATGTATTGGGGAAACATGCGTATTGCAGGAAACAGGCAGAAGTATAATCATAGTATAAATACATTATATAATTTGAAAAAGTTTGGCGGGCCGGATTAAAAAGCTGAAGGGTTAGAAGCCTTAGTTTGTCCATACCTGATTTATTTTATATATGGTCTATGACACTTTGTAGGTCCTAACCTCAGATGGCTTTGACTGTCAGCCGTTTGCTCTCACATACAAAGGCTGGGACTGCACCTAAAGCCTGAGGTGGTGTGGTTTTACATTTTAATTCCATCTTCAAAACGTGTTTTGCCTATTTATGCATTAGCAGGGAGGAGAGTACTGTTTGTCTGCCTGCAGCCACCAGACCTACCCAAGACAAACTTCTCATTAGTGCAGGGTTGTCTCTCCTGTGTGTGTGTGTGTGTGTGTGTGTGTGTGTTGCCCAGCGTCCCTCTCTCACCACCGTCTCCACCTGCTGCTGCTGTTTGCTTCACACTCTTCCACATGCTGTGGTTACTGTTACCTTCTTTAGCCCAGTCAGTGTTTGTTTCTCACTTGGTTTGTTTGGTCTGTTCTTTAAAAGCTGTTAGAGATTTATTTTAACCGACGGGTGAGTTTTTTTATTTTTCATTTTATTTTTGTTTCATTGTTGTTTCAGGAGGCGGAGCGTTGGAGCTGGAGAAGGTTCCAGTGAAGGACAGAAGGAGGAGGAGGAGGAGGAGAAGGAGGGGGTTGTGGGGTTTGGTCGTGGTCCCTTGTGGTAATATTTAATAACAAACATTAAAAACACCACAGAAATCCTTTACCACATTCCCACGCTCCTACTGGCCAGAACACACATGCTCACATATGCATGTAACCGCACACACACAAACACACAACTACATACGCGTTGGATTTACACAACAGACACGGCTGTTGTTTACATACCTGTCCAACAGGACAGTGAGTGTGTCTGTGGTGTAGCTGTACGTCAGGATAAATAACTATCACTGTGTGGACAGTTTGTCCTTCACACTTTACTTTACTGTAGTCAGGATGAGAGGGTTAGGGCTGAGATTCAACATATGGAGCAAGGGCCTACAGGATTCACTTGGTTCATGTTAAGGACTCTTTGTAAAAAAGTGTGTGTGTGTGACTGTAAAAATGAGCAATAATCTGTTTACATACAGATTTTTTTTATTTTTTTTTTTGCTTTTACGGCAAACCTTCTATATTTTAAAATAAAGTATGTATTTATTACTGATTTGTAGCTTTCTTGGCTATCTTAAAGAAAAATGTTAGCTATGTCTGAGAATTTCCTTTTTATTTTTGATTATTTCAACACTTTACTGTGTTCTGTCCCCTTGTACTTTAGTCATCTTTTAATGATTTGTAGTATAACAGGCGTGTGCCCTATTTTAAACTTCTTATGTAGGATATTTGATTTCTACTGCAGTAAAAAACCTTTGGCGTGTGTCTGAGAGCTAGAGTAAAGTTTTCACAAAAATGTTCCCAAAACTCATTATCACGTATAAAGCAGCCATTATTATTCTTACTGTTCTGCCTCTTTCTTTTGTGTGTGTGTGTGTGTGTGTGCTTGTAAGTGCGTTCATGTCGCCAGTGGCTTTCTGACCTCGTCTCGAGGTTTGGTCATCGTTGCCAGAGATTCCATTCCATCCCTCCCTTCCCATCCGTGTTTCACATGTGCGTCAGCAGAGTTACCACAAAACTCTCTCTCTCTCTGTGTGTCTGTGTGTGTGTGTGTGTGTGTGTGTGTGTAACCCCATGATGCTCCTCGTTCTAATGCGCCCCACCCTCATGTTTTCACCCCAAACCTCCCTCCTCTTCCTCTGCTCCCCCTCTTTTTTCCTCTGTTGTCTTGTTCTTCCTCCCTGCTGCTCGGTCTCCCCTTCTCCCTCCTCACTGTCAGCCACTTCTTTCCTTTCATTTTTGAAGGAATGTTTTGTAAGAACGTGAGTGTTGTTTGGAAGCGTTGGTTCAAATCTGTGTCTGTTGTGGAGGTATTGTTTTTATAAATGACAATGATCATGGGCGTTGGGGGTTGGGAGGAGGGGGGACAGAGGTGTGTTACATATATACATATAAATATATACATGTATGTATACATATATATATATATATATATAAATTAACATAAATAAACGGGAAATTAAATTTCAAAATTATTATCTCATTATTATTAAGAAAAAAATAGTTTAATTAAATGTAGAATATAAAAAATCTGAAAAAACAAAAGGACATCTAAAAGTTGACTTAAAAAAGTAACAAAGTAACTAATATTGGCAAAAAAGTAAAAGAAAGTAAACATAAACATAAAGTTATCCTGAAAGACGTCCTAACGATACGTAGAGTGCACAATTGTTAGCACAAAAACATGTATTTCATGACAACAAAGCCTCCAAATAGTTACTGTTATTGGCTAAAAGATAGTTCAAAGATCAGCAACAGGTTAGCACACGACACTGCTGGCAAATTCTATTAAATACGACCGGTGATGTCTAAGAATGTAGATGTAGAAAACGAACAGCGGTCTGCAGCTCAGAGACTGTATGTACTGTTAAAGACAGATTTATCTGCACATGTGCAAACAGTTAGCCTCCATGTGTTTTCATTTCCTGATCATGTCTGACATTAGCAGCCATGACTGTAATCATACCTGACCTTGGAGATGTCCATGAACGCATCACTCAGGAGGAAGAGCAGATCGTTGGCCTGCACCAGTGAAGTTGAGAAATTCTCTGAAACAAATCAATGAAACAATTGCTTTAAGGACTCGGAGGATAATTGAGTTGTTCAGAGACATTCGTACTGTAACGGTACAGTCTTTTACCTCAGCTCTGTCTCTCTCTCCTTCTTAGAAAGTAGTGCTGTGTCTTCAGAATGTGCCGGGGGAACTGTTGGGATTGGTGTGTGGAGCAGTCAGGGAGGTAGGTACATTTATTGTGTAAAGATGACAGGTTATTTGAGAATGTGCCTGATTCACTGTGAGAAAGTGGAGACATAAATATAAAATGCTGCGTTAAAGACTCCGGCAACTTCTCCATTTGTCTCCTGCAGCAGCTGCGGATGTCGGACACTTGGCTGCAGAATGGAGAATCTTATCCTCTGAAACATTCCTCCTCCTCCTCCTCCTCCTTCCCTTCTTCTTTTTAAAGGGGAAAAAAAGCAACAGAGCTCATGATGTGAAAATGAGACAAGTGAGAAATATTGGAGGAGACTCCCTTCTGGGAGGAGGGAAGCGATGTGAGGCCAACACTGTCTTCTTTCAAATGTAGTCCTTGGGTTTTTGATGCATTCCAACATGCAGCATAATGGATCTATACCACTTTTCAAAGAATCTCATGAATCTTAGTGATGCAGCTGTAGATTCATATTATATCTATGAGCCTTTAAAAATAAGAGTGTAATATTCTGCCTCAGTGTTTAGGAAAAGAGGAGGAGCCAAGAGAAGACTGTTGGATGAAATGAAGGAGAGAGAGGAAATGGGTGGGGTGACAGTAAAGGAAGGAAGGAAGGAAGGAAGGAAGGAAGGAAGGAAGGAAGGAGGGAAGGAAGGAAAAAACCACCAACTTAAGTATGGCTGACAGGGGATTTTCAAAATAAAAGCTGCACGTAGATGAAGCCCCCTGACCACCAACCAGATACTGATGTCTCCGGCTGCACAGTGACTGTACATACTGTACCGTAAGGCACTGGTTGTACACTGGCCAACACGGCCATTACAGCCGAGACAGCAGACTGTTCCACATACTGTACATACAGGTGTGAGAAGACTTTTAAATGAAAGGGTCTCAAGGAAAAAAAGAAAATGGGGGAAAGGGCCAAAAAAAGGAAATACAAAAATGGAACAAAGTCTCAAAATATAATTAAAGACTAAAAAAAAAAAACTTTAGTGTGAAAGTCTGTGTAAAGTATAATTTAAACGTTATTTAATGTTAATTTTGTTTTTAACTTTAAAAAATAAGTGCAAACAATTATCAACTGATACCATACATCATGTGTATGCTGCCACCTATCGACAGAACACATGTACTACACCTCTACCGTTGTGTTTCAGGTGCTGTGTACTTTGACCTTTTAAAGACAACAATCCCATGAAAACAAAAACTCAACAGGAAGCTTGGGGTTGTTTTGCATCATTATTTACAGCGTTTTTTTATTTGTGATTACCCCGAAATGTCATCAATCAGTATTTTTTTTAAACTACATACAATGCAATGTAATCAAAGAAGAGCCAAAAATTTGCAACACAAAGTACAGGCGGTGATTTATGACCAGAGAAACAAAACAATGAGTTAAAGTTTTCAACACTACAACATTATTATTTTCTTGATATTAGGCTAATGACGGCGTGTGTCATCAACAGTGATGCAATGGCAGCTGTAAATGTAGCAAAGAAATTAAAGACCAGTTTCTGTGAGAAACACTGAGGTATGGAGGGTTTCTACTGCAATGTGGTGTGCAAGTGTGAGGGCGACGCAGCTTATCTTGGGACTTTAGTGTGACAAAGTACGATTTTGAAACTTTTTTTTTTTTTGATGATGATGATGATGAAAATGGGTCGAGCTGCGTGTTTTCTTTAGAAATCAAATCTAATTTTTCCAAATAAGAAATATAAAAATCACCCAGAAGAGTGGAAACTCTATTTACACTCACTTTCTACCAGCTACAGTTGATGGCTAAAACCTACCACAATGTAACAAATGTATGCTTGAGAAAAACAGAAGAAATAAAAGCCACCAAAAGTGTGTGAACAGGAGTAAAACAAAGACAGATTGTCCAGTATATTCTGTGTTCATAACCCCTGATATTGTCCCAAAATAAGGCTGTGGGTTTGAGGCACACCAAGGTACAAGTGAGCTAAGCTAAGAGCGTGCGAGGCTGTGGGCAATTGTCCTTTCTGTCTGTATGTACTGCAAAAAAAACTTTCATTTAATCTTCTACCCAGCTGGGTCTCAGTGCAGAGAATACACTTTACTTTTTTATTTTCTTTTTTTGTTTATAAAGACAAGATGCCTAGAAATCTGTGTACTTTTTTTTGACATCACATGTTTAGCTTAGCATCTCCAGACAAAAACACAAGTGCATCATTGGCAATAACTGCTGGTGAGGGAGAAACAAGTGCACAGATGTGTGTGTGTGTGTGTGTGTGTCCATCAGAGTGTTTGTTGTGTTTTAGTGTCGTTTTTGTGTCAGAGTGCTGCTATTTAAGTGCGTGTGTGCGTGTGTGTTTAAGCAAGCGCAGTTTTATTTGAAGAGGTAGCAGAGAAAGGTGACCAGAGAAAAGTCGTCAGCATGCGACACAGGAGTCTTTTAGTAGAAGATTCATCTTTATATATATATATATACATAAATGTTGAAGCTAGGTTTTTGCTACACTTTTTCCTGTTTTACTTCTATTTACTTTTAGCACATATGTTGCTAACTTTTGAGTGTGGTGCAGTAACTTTAAACCAATCGAATTTTTAGTTGTTCTTTTTTACTTTTTTTAAGTCAAATGTCAAGAACTTGTACTTTTATCTTTATCTACATTTGGCAAATTAGGTTTCACATTTTGAGAGACATGTTTACCTTCGATGTTCTGTCTTTAAAGTAAATATCTAAGTGATTCCAGTCTGTTCATTTACAGATGTAAGCTTCAAAGGCAGCTAATGAAAGAAAATGACCTTCACGTTGAAATAATCATCGTACAATATATAATACAGAGAATATTCAGAGTATATTCCAAAAGGCCTGTTTGTATGAATCTGAGTGAGAGCAGCAAAGCGGCACAAAGTTCAGAGGTTAGAAGGCGGTAGGGTGCTGTGACTGGACTGAAGATGGTGTGAGGATTCAAAATAAAAATAAGTACTGTTTCATATCTCAGTCGTCAAAAACTGGATCCCAATGTTACAAACCCTGAAGGAAGATTTAAGAAAAGAAAAAAGAAGTGAGGCAGACGGATGGAGGAGGAGACTGTGTGACTGGAGTTCCTTAAACAGGCCAGAGGGGGTGGGGTCGGGGGTGGGGGGTTGTTTCAGACTGATGGTCAAATCAGGTGACAGTTTACTACATCACCACAGGTAACATTTCGTTTTCGAAGTGAAGGACGTGCAAGTCTATATTTGCCAGTCTGACACATGACCCCTGTGTGTCCGGAAAAAAAAGCCACATCCCTCCATCACCTCTGCTACATTCACACAGCAGCTTTCATCTCTCTGCCAAAATCAGGTTAATGCCCACACAGCAACAAACAAGGGCAAAATACTGATGAAACAGAGATAAAAAGTGTTAAATGAAAAAAGATGTTTTTGGTGACTCTCTGAGACTAATCACTGTTTTTATTCTAAACTAAGAAAAAGAGAGACCCTAATATTGACCTCAGAGACAAGCTTCCATATCGTCTAAAATTGTTTAGTCAGCGTACAGAGCAGTGGTGTGCACGTAAAACTGCCTGTGAACGTAGTGATTTTAACACAATCTAGAGACGCTTCTGAAAACTCTCCTCAGAGAAAGTAAGCATCCTTAAGTCAAGGTGAAGTAGTAAGTGCTCCAGACCATTCTTTGCAGCCTCCCCTCTCTGTCCGTTAGGTGCTGAAAAAATAATCTGTTATCTGTTAAAAAGAAGAAATACCGCTGACCTCACTTTAATAATAATTTTCATCTCATTTCGAGCTGTTTACCAGTTACAGGTAAACCAGTTATAATAAGCAGTTATTTTTCTACTATATTCAGAATAGCAAGAAGATCACTTAGCTAAATTCAAGATAAAATGTGTAACAATGGGGTATTTTAGTCTTTCATATTAATGACCCCTGTACTTTTTCAGAAAAATATCACAAAGCAAACAGTCTCACCTCATTGGCAGATTCCTCTGTTTGTTTCTAGTATTGTTGTTTTCGCAGAGTCAAAGTGACGTCTGGGATTAGGTAAGACATTTCCTGAAAACTAAAAAAACGTTAGACCCAACAGGTAGAAGTCAGCTTGAGATCAAAGTACCAGAGGTGTGAAGTGTCTGGAAACTAAAAGCTGCTGTGTGACTTTCACACATGACATGGATGTTTGACATTACAGAGGTCTCTGATTGAATAACATATTTGTTAGCATTTGGTAGAATTGGAAAAAAAAAAATCCAGCATTCAAAAAGGGAAAAAGCACTGTATAAAAAAAACCAAACTTCTAAGTTAGTGTTAAAAATAGAAGAGATCCCTTGTTGTAAACAGAAGTTGTGATTCCAGAACAAAATATTGTATTCACACACAAACATATATATACATATACGTAGATGTATATGTATATATGTATATGCACTGTGTGTGCAGAAGGGGGAGGTAGTATGTTTGGTTAAATGCTCAGCGGCACCTCATGACATTAGAGAGAAGACAGACGACAAGACAGGAAGAAGGTGATGAGACATTAGACTTGTCAATCAAAAACATGGGGATCCACTGACATACAGACTGTGAACTGGCAACAGGATTTCAATGTAAAGTCTCCTACTGAATAAAACCAGCAGCAACTGCTTTAGTGTACGTATGACATCATACACTGTAAAATACTGAGTAACTGAGTTGTAGTGTGTTTGAATCTCTGTGTGTGTGTGTGTGTGTCCAGAGTTTATGTTTGGTTCCCTTCAAAGCTATTGTAAAAACAAATGTCTGAGGTATCTGTTTGATGTTTTCCAGCTGAGTGAGGTTTCCATTGAGTAAGGCTTCTGAGGTGGAGCTGCTGACCTGGCTTTAGGACAAGAACGGTGAAGAGGTGAAGAGAGACCCCTCAGCTCCGAGTCTGAACTTTAATGTCTACGCAGAAATTTGAAGGTAGAGTATGCCGGAATTTCCCTAAAAAAGAAAAAAGGTGACTATATTAGCTACACCATTTTCCATCTTTTTCCTTTATCAGGTTGAGATGATTAACAATAAAAACAGATCTATAAGAGGCTGCACTATGGACCTAAAACTGTTCCCCATCTTTAGGTAATCTCTGCAAACTTTGACTTAACCTTTTTTTTATAAAATAATTTTAATTTTAAGAACTGAGGTGAGCTAGATATAACATCGAAGGTAGACCTAATATGGCATTTATACAGCATCATCAGCTCCCCCTGCAGGGAGCTACATGATCTGCATTAACACAAAACTCTGGCATACTCTACCTTAGAGTATTTGAGATAAAAAAAAAATGTGAGCAACAAAGCAATGCTGGAAACATGATGTTTCACCACGAGGACCTGTCAAACTGAGTGTTCTCTCACCACTTCACCACATCCTGTATTTAAACAGATGATGTACATGTTGGACGTCATGTATAAAATCTACTTTTCTACCATCCAACAATGATTCCTAGAAAAATGTTAAGAGCTGCATTATGCGACTTTACATAGTGTGAAAGATAACAACACCTTTGGGTTTAGAAGGCAACATATTTTCTTGTCAGTCACTGAGCACTTTGCCTGTACCTATGTCTGCCTGTGGCATACAACGTATCCATGTCTCTTCTATGATCTTCTATACAGGTTCTACACAGTCACATGGACGTCCACTCCAGAGGATTCTCTTTTCTTTCTCTTTTCTTCTCATCTGGTTCAACGTTGCCATTTCTGCGTAGCCATCACATGTCCGATTTATTTAGGCTCCCATGCGCCATGATTTTTTCCTTCTTCTTCTAAAAGCTGAGTCGCTGAAGTAGTTAAAGCTATGAGGAGTAATCCTGCTTTAGATGGCTAACACGTAGGGGCGGGTTAGATGACTGGGTGATGTAGAGGCACGGCCATGCTGTTGTTGCAAGTTTTTACTGGCTTAATCCTGCGTTTGTCAGTTCAGGCAGTGTTAGTAAATGATCGCTCGATTGTGTTTGATACCATGCTTCTTGAAAAGCAAAGGTAGCCTTTTCTTTAGAAACACAGAGCTGGGACTGTAGCTGGGACTGTCCTTATATAGATATATATATATATATATATATATATATATGTAGGTCCACTGTGTTCCTTCCTGCATTCCTGTTACATATCCAGGTCAAAGTCTTTTAGTATTTCAGTAGGAAAAGGGTCTGTGTGTTTCTCTCGGGCCAACAAGGTAAAGCCACGTTGTCAGTTAAAAATGTTCATCTGTCGCTGTAAAAGTCTCCAAGAGTCCACGTCCTTCTCGCTAAGCTCTGTTTGAAAGGCTGCAGCAGGCAAAGCACAAGCTAAACAGCAATCTCAGAAACACACCTATCAACAGTCTTAAAAAGAACAAAATCTTTTTTCTCAACAAAATGAAAAATAAAATCCTGGTTACACTGTATATTTGTCAAGACCTTAACGATTTGACATTTGAAAGCGAGAGAAAGAGAGTAGACGTACATCCATAAGCCTGGAACGCACAGAGGGCACACTTCCTGCAGAGATAAACTGAGTTGATGGGAATATTTGACACTGGGGGTTTTTAGTGTTTTTTTTTAGGAAGTGTAGAATGTGAGACTCAGTTTGCTGGAATGCGCTACACAACCACTACTAGGAATGTTCAATCACATTAGGACTTCTGCAAGTCCAAGTCCCTAATTCCGAGTCTCATCCACAGACTTTATATAAGAGGACGACAGGAAGTCACCTGCCAGCTTTGAGAGGAATTCTGTATATCCTCAATACAAAAATGGGAAACACATCTACTGTAGGTAAATGTTTGTTGTTCCTTAGCTTCACTTTCTTGAAAAGTTTTTTTCTTTTTGGATACCAAAATGACTTTGGTGAACTCCTTTAAAAGAGTTCAGTTACTGATCATATAATGTGGCCGACATCACAGATGACAATTACCTCTGTGGTTCTATCACTGCATTGCTGTTCAGTTTACACCAGTGCTGGTCTTTTACTGTGACTTTACTATTTTGGCATATTTTCTTCTAAAAATGTTGCTTAAATACGTTTGTCATTGGAAACCAGCAGCAGCTCGTGAAGAGCTGTGCTAGTCAAATCCAAATACAACTCAGTAACTCTTGCAAAAATGACCAACTCTGTACATTCGAGTAAAATACAAGAAAATATTCCATCTCCTCGTTGCATATATTGCTGCAAACCACATCATCATCGACAGTTGATTTCTCTACTTTGTTATTTTGCCTACGCTCATCCTGAACTATGTACAGACTTAGCAAGTGGTATTTACAAAAGTTGTCCACAAGGGGGAGATCCAGGTCTGCGTGAGGGGAGAGCATGCAGCGAGTCAACGGAAAAGTGATATGTGATATGATCATGTAGTGATGTTTAAAAAGTAACATCCAAGACCTGGCTTATACGGCTGGTGCTGAAATGACATAATTATATATGAGATACAACAGGCTGAGGCCTTGTTTATCTCATTAATATCAAAAGTTTTCTCTCGTGTCCCTACATTTCTGTCCCACTCTGAAGAGCATCTGAAGGATTTCATTTGAAAATAAAACATTATTGTATATTGCTACCATCAGTAGAAGTTTTAATTTGCCCTGAATAAAAAATAAAAATAAAAAAATAAACACAAAGCCTAAGTTTAAACACTGGTAACAGTTTGAATGTAAATGTAATTACAAGCCTTTTACTGAGTATATATTAAAGAACTGCAATCTGTAATTTTAACTTCGTAGGAATGAAAATCTTATAGTAATTGTTTTTAAAAAGTCTTATTTTTAGCTTACATACGCTGTTGTTTAGTATCATTACAAATCACAGTGAATCCTAGAGCTTCAAAAACAATCTCCATCTCATATGATTGTGAGCTTACCACACATGCACACACCTTAAACACCCACGTACACAAAAATCATCAGACAAACTTTTAATTCCCTGAGGCAACAGCCGGGTTGCTGCTTTCTGTCCAGCTCCCCGGCTCTAACTGTCTTAGCAGCAATCTAACCAGCCAATCGAACGCCTCTAATCCTGTTTCTACAGCCACCAACAGGCCACGACACTTGGTGACGTGACGACCTACAGACTTCACAGGTCCAATAATCCACAAGCTTCCAACAAAAAAAACAAGTGCTTCTCCTGCACCCAACCCTCCATCAGAGCCTGTACACGCCCCCTTGTGGTCCATCCATAATCTCAAAAACTGTACACATCACAAAAATAACAAAGGACCCCTCGCACACTTTTCAGTGCTTTCTCGTGTGTGTATTCTAAAAACACAGTTGAGGAGGGATCTTTAAATCCTCTACCATTTAGACAGAACAATTTGCGTTCATAATTGCAATCATCTGCTCTCTTAAATACATCTATATATATAGATATATATATATATTTATAAAACAGCTTATACTGATTGTATCATTTCTATTTATATAGCAATATACATACATTCGTGTTGTTGTGAAAATCCCTGTGCACTGGGAGCAGGGAATTCAAACTGTAGAATCTTTCCACGTTTTTCATTCCTGTTAACCTCAACCATTTCTGCACATAAGCGTCCTTTCTTCACTTCATCTGACCATCTGACACCTCTCCCACACCCAGACATGGGGCTTGGACTCTTCACCAGGTATTTTTAAACCAGGACATCTAAGTATTACCATGACCTTTAGGGATGCACCGCTTAGACATTAATATCATGTGTTGGGGGGGTCACCTCCGCTTGGCCAATCGATGGGATGTAAATTGAATTAGAAGACTTTTAATGTTTAGTACTACACTTGTCGGTTTCAATTTCAGTCCTAGGTACAGTCTGTAGTTAACACATTTTTAAATCTTCATGATTGTAGAGATCCCTCAAAACTGGTAAGTCACTGGGCGAGGTTAGAACACTTAAAGTCTACAAGAAAGCGCTCTGTCCCAGCTCTGCTGTGTGGATTGAATGAAACACACAGCCCTGGTGTTGTAACTCTGTCAGACTGGTGCATCCCTAATGACATGTCTGTGAGCGCTTCTTTCCACTTATCTTGTTTGTGTTTGATATATTTGGATGCATCTGCTGTCAACAAGCTGTAAATCAATATAAATAGTTCATAGCTATGCAATACTAGGGTAGTAATACTGCTCACAATGCATCTGTACCTTACAAAGTTACGTACAGTTATGGTTAAGAGATTTAACTCTGCGTCTGTCATCATGATGACGATAATGATGCAAATGATGAGGGTGACAGAAACATCCATCAGGCTGTCGACACTGTAAAAACAGGGGAGAAAGGTGGCGTCTGTAGAATGGTCGTGACGAGAAAAGGCAAATCTGGATTTATGCAGAGGAGCATGAGGTCAATCAGTTCCTGACGGCAGTAAGTCAGGTGACGTGAGAAAGTAACCCTTATCAAAGTGCTGCAGGAATCCACAGCCCACAAAGGAGTCTTTAATCCACAAATCCAGAGGTCCAGGAATCGGAATCTTGCTCCTTAGTGTCAGGAGCGAACAAGGCTGATGATGAGCAGGTGATTGTTAACTGTCCATCTGATTATCTAAGGATTTCCCAAATGTCCTAGGATGTCACAAGGATGGGGGTTTGGTTAAGGGCTAAAAAAAAATCATCTGATGGGGCATGATAGGTGTGGATAACGGTTGTCTCGTCCTCTGCTAAGACACCTCGCTTCCAAACACTTCCAGCACTAGTGGAGTCAGCTGCATGCTGTGCTCGGGCTGGAAGGAGAGCGAGCGATACTGCTTGGAGTGCTCCTCGTTCAGGCTGCGCAGGTCGGCCAGTTTCTGGATCATCTTGGCATAGAGTAGGCGTCCACCTGGGTGATTGACCCGGATGTAAGCCTGTAGCACATCTGACAGATGGTCCTGGAGCTGCTCAACACGAGCATGATCCTGGACACCAGGTCGATCTGTAGAATGGGGAGGATTACAAGATCAGAAAAGTTTTGAAAACTAGATATGGTTATAATGAGTTAGTTTCATGTTTATGTTCATGTTATGATAATAATCAAGTTTCACTCAATCAGTACACATAAAATATAGAGAATTGAAATATAGTACAGACCAGTGTGTGTGTGTGTGTGTGTGTGTGTGTGTGTGTGTGTGTGTTATACCTACTGGATCTTTGTGAATTTAAAACGTAAGCAATGGAGTTTTAGATCATTATTATCATTATTATTAATATTATAACTAATATTAACGATGATAATGATCTTCTCTTACAAATTAATTACATTGACTGACAAAAACTCCAGTCCATACAAAGACAGCTAAAGAATTTCACAAACATACTTTTCAGGCTCTGGCTCTGGCTCACTGCATGCATCCAAGCACGCACAGATGCACACGTACACGCACACAGAGAAAATGATAAGAGCTCCAGTGTCGCAGCTGCTAATCGTCTGTGAAGAATCAGAGAACATCTGTTCTCTCCTGTGTTCTGTCGCCTGCTGTTATTCATGCCTAAAGATCAAATCTGTCGTTGAACTAACATATCAGCAGATCTGTTAGAAAGAAAGTGGAGTCTCACAAATGAAGTGGGTGCTGAAGTTTGTAGGAACAGGTTCTTACAGTCTGGCCTTTTATTACTGTCAGACATCTGTATATTTTGAGATTTATGGGTCTCAAATTCTTGCCTCTGGCTGAAGGCGAATAACAGTGCACTGATGGACAAACATTGTAATTACGTAAAGCAGCAGCAGTGTGTTACCGCGGTGATCTCACATTTGCTGTGAAATGCAATATTATTCTAGACAGAACAAACAACGCTGGGGCCTAATAACATGTTTATTATTTACTACTACAATTCATAATGTTAGTGTTTAAGCTGCAGAACAAACAGTTTTAGTATATATAAATATATGCAGCGAGATACACACACACACACACACACACACACACCTTGCTATTGTTCTTTTTATGTTGGCTTTTTTGTACGATAGACAACCCAAGGAAAATTATACACACAAACACACACACATACACAAAGTGAGTCACAGTAATGTTAGACATTGAGATCAACCACTGAACAGTACATCCATATGTATCAGCCTCTTATATGACAACGTGTCATATTCCAGGAACGAACGTTTCTTCATGTCACTGGCTCAGCTGGCAACACGTCAGCACACACACGCAGACAGTACCTGGGGAGAGCAGGCAGATGGCCATCAGCAGCACATGTTCCTCTTCATGCAGGTTGAGCTTCTTTAGACCAACCTGGAACTTCACCAGCGGCTCCAGCAGCTCCAGAGTGTGACCAGCTACACAGAGACACAGAGAAAACAGAGAGGGGAAAAGTTACAAACACAGTGCAGAAAAACGTGGTGTGTTTCTATTGACCTATGCATAAAAACGTTAATTCAGCAGTGAGCTCCAAAGAGGAATCATTGCTTTTCCAGTGTACTCAGACATCCTTTACAGAGAACATTGCCCCCAGTTTTGCATTTTGGACTAAATCATTGCAGAGTAAGTTGTGAATTTGTGGCTGCTTTACTGCTTCTATGAAAACATCTAAAGTCAGAAACCTCACAGTAATGTGCAAGTGTGCATAGTAAAGCAGTGTGAGGCCCATGCTTGTAAAACTCAAATATATACAGTGGAGGGAAAAGACATCACAGCTGTGTCATCAGCTGTAACAACAGGCACTTCTCTCTCTTGGACAGTGTGTATTTGTGTGTGCACAGCTATGTTTAGTCAATAATGTGCATGTACTATATGAAGACTTTAGGAGGACTTTGTAAACAAAAAAGAAAATTATACCCAGAGATGTTCAAACAACCAGAGGAGAAACATGCAAATGTGTGAAAACAAAGCTGAAGAATTTAAACCAACTCCAACTCACCTTTAGTGACATCACTGATGCAGTATTTGAAATCAGGTCCTCCGCAGCTCCAGGACATGTCCTCCAGGCTGAACGACTGGTTGGAACGCAGCATGATGATCTCAATGGCACTTGATTTTAGCAGAGCGATCTGGTCTTCAGCTGTCAGCTCTCTGAAAAATGTGTGCAGTCACAGATTTGATTCATATGGAGCAATCAAAAGCAATAGGAAACCAAGAAAACGCAGCAAAGAGCAGGACAAGTGTGTCCATTCAGTATGACTGTGTCATGTGTAACTAAGGCGAAATAAAGAGAGGCTGTAGCACAGAGAAACAGGTGTTTGACATCATTGACAATAAAATGGCTAATATATTATTATAAAGTGGTATAAATTCCCCTTTAATTCTAGTACTTACTTTCAAACGTGTAACAGATGGAGATATACACACAAACCTTTTATCTCTCTGCTATAAATGTCCATTTAACTAATAAAAGATATTTAATGACAAGACATTGTAGTTTAACACCCTCACTGTGTGTAAAAGTGTGTGTGTTTCTAAGTGAAAAGAAAAGGCTAACAAGCACCGCATGCATACAGAATAAGTTACTGTAGCAACACTCTCTACTCCAATGTTATGTGTGACAACATCTCTTAAACACACAAACAACATGAAGAAGCACATTTACATAACAATCGGAATCTAGTATCTCTAGCAAACATGTGTTTGCAACTATCAAAATGTAGTTTTACAAATTGGCAAATAAATACTCTGTTGACAAAGGACAGGCTGTTGACACTTTTTTTCAGTTCAACCGACCTGTTCACAGCTCCATGTATTGACTAAATAAAGCTGCAAGTCACCGATGCAATGTGGCATCAGAAAGAAACAGGAGACCAAATGTCCTTGGAAACATTCCTGATACTGAATACTTCTACAGTATAATACCTGATTTCAACCAAGGTTTATATTCTGTTTTTACAAACTCTGAGTAAGAAAATACTCAAATGCCACTAGTACTCTGCTGCAGCTTTTACACCACCATTATTTTAAAGATATAGTAAGGCGTGTGCGTATAGAGCAGTACAGCGCCTTGTTAATAGATATAAAGTGCTTTGTAAAAGTGTCTCTCTCTTTATTTACTTTTTTAAAATTAATTTATTACTTTCTGCCAATCTCTCCACGCTATATACAGTGTATACAGTATTCTCTTCACGTATTCTGCAAGTGTTTCACTATATTGTGGTATTCTTTCATGGTAAATGTTTTTTTAACTTCCAATATTTTCATTATTTTGCCGTGGTAAAAAAACATTATATCGAAAAAAACAACACTGCAGGGTGGCAGCTCGTATTCAGGGCAGCTTTATTTCTATTAGTTAGGGTAGTTTATAATAAATGTGTTCATCACCTGTTCTTTAAAACACTGTCATTTTATAGCGCTGTTTCTCTGCTCTGCGTGTTTATAAAGCTAGAGACTGTTCAGCCTGTTCTTGGAGGGGCTCGTTAGTTTGTTTGCAGCCACAAATAGCATCAAACCTCGTCCAATAATGTGCTGCGTACATGTGGGCAGCAGATCTCATTCAAGCTGCTTGTTTTGTTGCAGGAAAAACGTGACTGGAACAGACTTACACATGGTCATAGCTGTTTTAAAGTTTCAATTAATCCTGATTAATCAATAACAGGGAATAATGTTGAGAAAACAGTATTACATAAAATTGTGCTTCATGGACTCAGTAGATGTAAGTCATTACTGTGCATCTTGATGGTGGCTCACAGAAGACAATATTAATCAGTCCTCAGCTTATTTAGTGCAGTATATTAGCCACATTTTTTTTAATTTAAAATGGATATCAACTTCCTTTAAAGGAAATACTTGCTGATCTAAACAAAGGATTTGTACCTGAAACCTGGAATCATCTTGGCAAAACCAATGACTTTCTGGATGCTGTAGGAGACCAGATCAGCCAGATGGGGCAACATGGATAACTTAGTGTCTTCCTCGCTGGAGTCTGGACTGCTGGCACCATCCTGGTACATCATTAACAAGTTGCTGAAGTTCATCTTGGTCTCCACTGACTCTGTTTTAGGTGTGAATGTGAGAAAAGAACGATGAGCACAAAGATGTCCTTACCTTTGAACAAACTGACATTTTAATGTCGTCCTGCTCACCGGGTCATTAGCTTCTACAATCTTTAGAAACTTTAGGTTAGGTAAGGTTTACAGGACATGACATAGATAAAGGCCAATGGTAAAAAAATATTTAAAAAATTAATTAGTTCAATGCTGTATTGCCAGCTTGCATAAACATGTGCTTATCGCCTTGTATCTAAAATAAGGTGAAGAGATTTGTGTTATTCCAAACTATTATTATATTAATCATGTAGCAGACAAGGACAGATAAGAGATGAGAACACAAATTAAAGCACTTTCTCTAAAATCTACAAATCTGTTCTGAGAAAAACCCTGAATGAAGAATGAAATTGAGCAGAAGGACTCACCTGGAGAGTGGTTGAATGAGTCAGAGGACGCATCAGATAGAGAGTGAAGAGAGGCCGCTCTGCTGGCACTGCGTGTTACAGGACCTTCACGCACTGGAGGCTGAACAGAACAGAAAAAAAGAAATGGAAAAAACGATGAATGCCTTAAACATAAAATACATACAGATCCAGCACACTGATGCCTACACCATAGAAACTAATACTGATTCTCACAAAAACTGTGAAGGCAAGTTGTTAAAAATCATAGAAAATGTTTACACTTTTGTCCTGATGTCTACCTGAGAGATCTAGGTTTTCTGGAAAAGTTTTATTTAACATATAAAGCCATATACCTTCATTTAAGTATGTATTACTTTCAAAAAAACTTTCTCAGAGGTTCTACGAGACTGAAACACTTCTGCTCCACAAGGAGTGCTCCATTTTGTAGATAGGATTATTATGGAGCCCCCCTCTGACCCCATACAGACACATCCAAAGCTGTTGCTATAAAACTCCAAAGAATTGTGAATAAACACTGTAATTCCTACAGAGCTGCCATTGTCAATGGTCAGAGCATGTTAAATCACACAATTCTCTGGAATTTACACACTGGCTGTATGAATAAGGACAATATTAAAATTAAATCAAATGCTTGCTTCACACCCACCCGCGAAAGGTCAGCGCCCTCTAGTCGGTGTGAACTCCTGACTTTTGGAACCAAAAGCAATACACTGTTTATCAGTTTGCCTACATGCCATTGTAAGGCTGGCCGATTCACTCCATTTACATTAACTACAGTGTGCAGTGCAAGTGCTCCAGTTTCAAACTCAACGGCTGAAATATTTTGGTTGCGTATAATTATAGGAGTCTGCCGCACAGAACCAAGCTTGTCATTTATAGATCACAGACCCATCATCCATCTCCTTTTATGACATGACCCAGTTGTTGTGGTCTACAGAGAGAAAGTCATCTGCCGTATCACATTGTGACACGAGTGAAAACGTCACTTTCTGGTGGTGGGGCTCCTGTGGTCACATGTGTTACTGTCGTCAAGCAAATTAAAAACACACCCAGGCCATGTTGTTGAAGCTGCTGACATGTTTGTGTGAAGTAAATATAATATTGTGGTTACAGATGTAATTTACAGCCACCCCAAAATGACAATAGTGGTTCTGCTTCACTTCACTCTGACACCCAGTGAATGTCATTTCAATCCATAAAACCTTGGACACTAATCACACACCCAGTCAAATACCATTACATTTTCTCATTAAATACTTGGTAAGTAGCAGTAAATATATTACGTTGTGTCATGTGACCTCTTTGATGATGGGTGAACGCTAAGGTGTCACATGACCAGAATGGTAAAAAAAACAGCAAGATCATGTGACAGAAGTGGATTGTAAATGGACTTTGATGTCAGACTGCGTGTGGAGTGTTTGATGAGCGCAGTTTCTTTGATTTTCCCTAATGACCTTTCAGGTCACGTGACACCTTATTCTTGACAGCAGGTTAATTTAATAAATCAGAGGCTTAAACTCTAGAGGCACAAAAATGCAAGTTTCCCAGAAAAAGAAAGTCAGACACAATCTCTTATCTACTCTTTAAACAAATACTCTGAGTGAAAAAGGTTTAATATTGCAATTTTTTCTCCTTTTTTTAAACTGTTGAATCATCGCTCTGGCTGTGAATTAATTCAACCGTTTTTACACTCAACTCAACCGTTTTTACACTGAAAATTATAAAAATTATAGACGTGGGTTTCCTGCATTCAATGCTGTATTTATAGCTGATATCACCTGGTCATGAGCTCTTTAAGCAGATTTAATTAAGAGTGATTGATTAATAATTAAATCAAATTAGGTTTCTATGAGAAGAGAGAGAGATATATTTGAGATGTTAAAGAGAGGAGCTGTTACTACTTCCTTTCACTGCATGCACTGTCTTTGGGTCCAGTTTCACATTTCCAATCAAACTAAGAGGCAGGTAAACAATTTAAATATAGTCCAAAATAAAGTGAAAGTTTATTTAATTGACTCATTGTTAGGGTCTACCCAGAATAACTCGCAGGACAAATTGACAAAATACATTTGACGTGGGAAGTATTTCAAAGTTCATCGGGAACCTGAGGAAAACCAAGTGTATTTGGCTGTGACTGTGAAAGGTGTGGTCTTAAAATCAATCATGATCAAGGTCAGTAACCCATGCGTAGTGCAGCGTATTTACATGCAGCAACACAGAGTGTGAAGTCACTCACTTAAAAGGTAACATTTGTTTCCTGACACTCGGTCACAAAGTGACAACATGTCAATATCAGCTAATGAAACAAGAACAGTGAACTGTGCTTGAACTGGAGTGATTTATATTGTGTCCAGACGTTGAGCCTGCGCGACACTACGACCTCCTCCACCCACATTCTTAGTAGAGAACAAAGCAGTTCTGGCCACATCAAGGACAATGTGATTGTGGTTTAAAAAAAGAGAGGAAATGGACTAACCCTGAAGCGAGAGAAATCAGAATAGGAGGCATCATAGGTCTTGTGGTGAGCCTCCACCAGAGAGGAAATTATCCGAGCTTGTTCATCATTCAGCCTCGGCTTCATCGCCTCGCGGGCAGCCTCCTCCTCCTTCCTCTTCAAAATCATGTCCTTCTTTCTTTGAACCTCTTCATCTGTCAGGATGACTGGGATTGAAGGGAAAAGATATATTGACAGAGTTTATTATGTGTGTGAATAATCATGTAGAAAAAAAGCCCATGTCATAGCAGAACAATAAAAAAAGACATTCTAGGTCAATGTCAATATTGTAAACCCAACAATTATGAACAGGTGTTTTGATCGTTTCTGCAAAGCATTTAACCATTTGGCATTTTTAGGTAGCCCACCCACAGGTATTAAACTAGTGGTGTAGTTTAGTGGAAGTGGAGGGCAACATTTGGATAATACCCTGCTCCATTACTAATCATCAATATTTGCCCCAATTCTAATAATGAAGAAACTACAATTTAAGCTGCTTTACTGCAGTGTGCACTTCTACTCATTTACCAAAGGAAACCCATAACCTCTGATACACAGAGATGGATTCAGTGGTTAGTTCAGACAAAGAAAAATACAGAAGATAAAGCCAACAATATATCAGATTGATTTGTTCAAAGTTAACTAAATTAGCACAACAGAAAATAGCTTGAAATGAGTCCACACACCTACAAAGTTCAATGAAAAATTCTCCTGGAAAAGGACACTGGGCCTTTAAAACCCTAAAAGGAAGCCACAGTCCCTATTTAACCTATTCATGTGTTGTAACTGGCCCCCAGGCTGAATTTTGAACACTAACATTAAAGAGTGAAACTGAAAAATACAATACACTGAAGGAAGAGCAGCCCACTGGAGAGGAAGTTATCACTGAGTGTTTGTATGCAGCTTGAGAAGGATATCCAAAAATATTTCTTGAACTAATCATCCATATTTGGGTGGAGTAAAATACTATAAAAAATGACATAAAAATAACTCTCTGTGGGAGTTGAAATCTAAATATTGCATTCTCTGTTTTAGCTTGAAGCATGCATCTCTTTAAGGCAAGCAGAGCAGGTCTGTCACGTCTGCTGCCTTTAATGCAGCTGACAGACATTATGGTCTCTTATCTCTGCTTTATTCATGCTGCAGTCAGAGCTGTATAAGAGACGAACAGATCACGTGTCGCTTTCGTTGCGTCTGTTCTTGGCTAGATGGGCTGTAGGTCAATGTGAATTATGACTTGAAGCAAAGTTTTACCCTGTTGGTATAATAATCACAACAGCCCTCTATGCCTGTTACATTACATTACATCCACCTTTTTATGCAGACATTGATAGTTATTTTCATTTCATTTATTTAGGGTTCCGGAGCTGTAATAAGCCTGTGTCTCCTAAAGCCCTAACCCATTGGCTTTAAGCCTAAAATCTGTAGCAGTAAATGGGGAATGACACATTGATGTAAAAGTGGCAGTGCTGCTGTGAAAATATTTGTAAATAAAATTTACATTACAGAAGATTCAATGCTATGCACATGTGTGGAACTTCATGGGGTTCCTAATCTTCCCTCCGACATAAACAACAGTCTTAGCTTCCCTCCCTTGCTGAAATGCACCTTTAAACTCACAGCTCATGTGACTGTATCCCAGAAAGTGGGTCTTTTCCATGCCTGGCATGTTATAGGCCTTTTACTAGCCCTACACAAGGCAGGCAGCTGCCATTAATCTGAGCTTCAACATTGTAGAGGCCATTTTACACCACTGTGTTCTGTAAGATATTCTGATTCATTCTGGCATGAGTCACACATGCCATTTCCTGCACAACCATATTTTTCTTTTAGGATACGTTCATCTGGCTGTGTACAGCAGAGAGGCCATAGTGTGAAAGAGGAAACCTTGAATTACAAACTGAAGCCTGGAGGCATTCTATGAAACATACGTGGCTCAGAAGCTTTATAATGTGACACTGGTAGTGAAACAAATCTCTGAGTACATCTTGTATGCAACTTTTCATTATAGACATTAAAGTCATATGTCTTAACAGCTTATGACTCCAGATTATGTGACTACAGGTACATCAAATGATTGATGCAGAAATTAAACCAAACCTTCTGCCATCACATCACCTTAATAGTGCCAGTGTCGGAGATTGTTACATTTCAACAGTGTGGTACAAATCATTCAGTTTGTATATATAGTTATATTCGGTCAGCCCAGAAAACTGGATGGTGATTTCAGACAGACAGAGGAATTCACAAGGCTTTGAAAAAAAGCCTCTTCGACTGTTTTTTTCCCCTCTTTGTATGTAGAATGTACATATCTACTAAGGCCCAAAAACAAACCGGACTATCTGGCAGATATTTAACTGAGTACCAGTTTTATATGGTTTAATGGGGTGTGTTGTGTTTGCTGTGAATAAAGAGCAAAGGTGCGTCACAGTTTTCATGGGTTAATCTAATCTCAACGGTCGTATGCATCCTAATATAAAGGTTTGCATACACTTAAGTACTGCCTTGTTAATCTGCTGTTGCAACTATTCAGAGCTAGATTACTGCAGTGTTTTATACAGCACATTCTATCATAACAGTGTTATGAGTGCAGACTTAGCTAAAAGGAACAAATACATTAAATACATGCTTTACTGTTGCTGCTAATTGAGATGGCAGGGATGAGTCATTCCCCGCCTGCTAAATACTGGTTGCTTTACTCAGGGTTGTAAACAACTATATATAAATACAAGTGAAGTGGACATTCAGTGATTGCACCCTGCACTGCAACCACACAAGTGCAGTTACATAAGCGCACGATGTTGGTGATGCAGACAACAACAACTTTTGGTAAGACAAGCCTAAAATGGCAACTTTAAAAGCCAGGCTGTTAAGCTACAACCAAAGGGTTTGCTCAGCTTTCATCTCTTTTAAACCACCATCATTAATTAGGCTTGGGCTCCACACCAATGGCCATCCAGTCCAGAGCCAGCACCACTCCTTGTGGTGAGTGCGTCCAAAAATGTAGCCAGAACATGAATGGGCCCAATTTGGTCTGGGTTTTGGCACATACTGCTGAATTAGCTATTCTAAGGCTGGGACATCTTTGAACCAGCCAGTTTCCAGCCACGATGGCAACATTAAGACAGGAGTCCACACAAAAAACAACAGGCAATCAAAGGAACATCTTGACCACCCCACAGTGTTTGGCAGCGGCAAAGAAGTTTACCAAACAAAGTTTGCTGTTCAGGCAGAGACTGAATGGATGTGGTAATGTGGTGGCCTGAATGGCAGAAAGGAACGAAGAAAAGACGACAGAGAGAAAGGCAAACATCAGGGGTGGTTGAAAAATAATACATTTATGTGAGTTTGGTAAGCACCAGTAATGGCACCGGGACAAAGAGAAAGGCTTTGAGAAGTGCTGCAGAGCCTAGAGGTTCACAGAAGGTTTAGTTATTAACCAGTCTGGATCGCATTATAATCCAATGGCGGCAGCTAACACAGAGGTGACATACTGTACTGTTCAAGCTGGACTTGGTGCAGGGCCAGGATTTATTTTCCACTGCTGTGTGTGTGATTTTCATGGGGTGAATTCAGGTCAGGTAGTCATCAGGGCACAGCTAGTGTAATTCTAAAAGTGCAGGATGATGTAGGAGGAAGATACTGGGCTGATGGATCAGTCAATATACATCTTTCAAGTTGGCAGGGCTTTTTATTCATTTTATATCAGTGTGAGTTCTAAATGTCCACATGTCGGTCAATCTCGGATAAATGGATAATGGAAAGCTTTTGGAACTATTTCCACAGCAGTAACTATTCACAGCAGAATTGAGAGTTAATATGGTTTAAAAAAAAAGAAGAAAATAAACAGCTCCAAAAACTTGCCAAATATATACTTCTAAATTAACATGAGCATTAAATATAGAGAGGTGCATGAATTGGTGAACTCTTCTTACCCACAAACCACCAGTTGATTACACGGTTATACACACGGTTATTCAAATCCCACTCCCTTCACTTCTTTTTTTGCATAGTTCTCTTCAACTGCAGCCTCTGGCTTTTATGAAATGCCAGTGCAAAACACAGAAGGACTTTGACATTCCATCGCTACATACAGGAAGTACAATGAGCATGAATGAATGAAGGACAGTGTGTTGAAAATTGTATCCACCATCAATCTAAACCTGAAATCAATGCACCCACGCAAGCAGTTAAATGAGGCAACCGACCAACACACACACACACACACACACACACATTTATACACAAATTGCCATTTTCTTGGCACTGCCCTTATCACTGGTAAACAGAACTGACATTAAAGTGCCTACTAAACACACAACTCTCTCTCTCTCTTTCTCAGATACACTCATCTAAAACTCTAATATTGCTGAAGCTACAACAATTCCAATTCCCCAATTTTTTGGGAAGTGCATACATTTATACTAACACCATACCATTGTCCTGTTGTACTTGATTTCATTTGTTCAAAGCAATAAACAAAGTATAAAATATGTTAAGTTTAGAAAAATGCAAGGTTATTTTATCTAAACTCTGGGTTGTGTTAATGTGTCATCAGCGTGAATTTCAGATTTACTGCTCAGAGAAAGAGACCAAGTTAAAAATTGGACAAAGCCTTCTTTAAGGCTCCAGCAGGAAAGTACAGGCTGTTTATTACATGACATGGAGTATTCAATCACCATTGTAGTCCTTTTTGGAGTAAAGAGTTTGCCTTTGTGATTTTTCTTTATTATCACCATCTTCTGATGTCTGTGGAAACGTGCTAATTTGTATTTTAACTGATAAGAAAAACAATAATTGTATATGTCTATGAAGATTCTCAGTCATCCAGGTCATGGTCAAGGTTGAAGAGTTCTGTTAGGCAACTGGATGTGAAAACATTGTAAATTAACACTCTTGTTCAATATTCTCATGTTTACTAACAGGTTAACTCATGCCAATCAATAAAAATACAATGATGTAATACAATGTGCAAAAAAATTAAGTGAAAGGTATAATCCCAATCATGACCGACCGATAGATTTATTTTTAATAGTAATACACTGAGTCAAATATTGTAGTAGTAGTTTGTATGAATTAAATTTCACCTTTTATTTCGATGTTTAAAATAAATAATACATTTAACAAATATCACTTTATATTTTCATATATTAAATCCAGTATTGCACAGAGTTAAAATGAGTGCCTTCACAAAATCACAGGCAAGAAGGCACAAATGTCTAAACAAAGCCATCGGGTTAAATTAACAAGAAGCAGAGATTATTAATTTAAAAAAACAAACAAACCAACAAATAATGGTCGAAATGTATCAGAATTAAATTAAATTCTTAAGATACAAATGTCAGATAATGAGTAATACAACGGCACCATTTTTAGGTGTTATTTGTTGTTATAAGGTGTTAGTGAATCATCTCTCAGTCCTAGTCTGTGTGATGCTGTTGGAACACAGTGGCTTTCATTCACCATATAAACTGGCTGCGTGAAGAGAGAGGCTGTATTGGACTGGACCCTGTTGGAAGACTGTCTCCTTCTTCCTTTCCGAAGAAACACTTTTCTTTTCTCGGTGAATCACAGACATTCCTGTGTCATGTGGCTGCATGTGGTTAACATGACTGTTGTCATTTTCCCCCCATACACACAAACATAACCATCATGACTAAATTACTAACCATTTACAAAACCAAGTCTTCACTCTTAAATCTGTGCTTTGGTTTATGTATTTTTTTGGTTCGGTTTATCCTTGAAATATCTAAAAAGTCAATGCTTTCATCCACTGCCATGTAGGGCATGTTTTTTTCAATGACATTTTAAAAACAAAACTTAAAATAAAAAAGAATTAAATGAAATAGAGGCTAGCATAGAAATGAAAATGAGACTCTGTGTCTTAAATTCGTTTCTTTGTTTTAAAATAATTAAGCAGCTAATTTAAAAAAACACATAATGATAATAAATATAGGACTTCAACCACAACCACCTCATGGTTGTTCCCAGGTTTCCTTCCTTCCTCTCTCCACTTTGTGTGTTATTTCTATTAAAATAAAAAGCAACACACTTGTGTACACTTACACAAGTGTGAAGCCGTGAGGAGGAGGAATAATTACTGCATATAATGTGCTAATTTGCCGACGTGTACGTTAATGATACGCCTCTGCGTTAGTCATTACTGATGTGTTGAGACAAGGTGTCATCGTGTGTTAGCGTGGAGCACGCTGATGGCTCATTCTCCTTTCACAGCACGTCAGGGCTGTTTTAAACTGGTACTGTATGCATAAGCAACGTGGCACAGATGTGTAACGCCGCACTTTAAAAAGGTAAATGATACTGTCAGTGGACTGTTTTGTTTTTGCTATGCTCTGATTGTCAAAATCGAAACTGCAGAAATATTAGAAGCTCCCATCTCGCAGAACAAGGGCAAAAATAAATAGTCTATTATTTGCAGCAAGCAATTGACCCTGGGCACTATGCCATATGGCAGGGCCAGCCCTATGCATAGACAGTACTGTCTGTCTTCTTATACCCAATCAGATCAGTTTACACCAGAATACAGCTTCTTCCTGAATGTCTTTAATATCAAATGAAATACAACGTAAGCAGGAAACTAAAATCTAAGTATCAGGTGCAAATGGAAGGATTATAATAGGTGTATGAGAAATATAATTAAGACAATGATCTCAGCAAAACAAACAGCCGGAGTAAACCAGATATTTCCCTGAGTGAGGTACTTTTAGTCAATTGACTTTAAACACTGTGTTTAAATAATACAGCTGAGAAAAAAATGCACAAAGGCAGTGAAGGAACATTAACTGTATCAACATCTTTTAACTGACTTAATGGCAAAATAAAATGAAGAAAATGTGTTAAAATGGGGCGCTGGCTATAAAAACATGTTATTAGGTGCTTAAAAAAGGACAACTATATTCAGTTGTTCCTCCCATTCACTGATGACAATGCTGGATATCAAAGTGTCACGAGCTATGGTCAGTTTTACTTACATTTGTTACAGAAATAAATGTCTGTGAACTTGGAATAAGATGCACATATGCAAAGGACAAAAAAGCCCTTAGTCTTTGAAGCTCCCCTGGGAAACACTGGAAATCTGGTGCACTGATCCAGAAGCAGCATCAGATCAGCTGCCGTACCTCACGTACCAAGGTAAACTATGCCATGAGTAACTCCAAACACATTAAACCACAAGCAGCATTTAGTCATTATTAGTTTCAAGTCTGATTCCAAAACATCGGTGCATTTTTAAAACCAGCAGAT